AGGGGAGGGTTGTTCTTGATACCTGTGAACTAAGACTTCAGCCGTCAGTCTGCATAAGACCTTAGAAACCCCACACATGTGATTTAGGTTCAAGATGATGTTTCCTAGGGATTCTCTTCTGCTTTTAGAACAACCCAGAGAATTTTAGAATTCTGCCTTTCCTTTTTATGGATTAAAAAACAAAAACAAAAACCATAAAAACAAATCCAATGTCTGAAGAGCAGCTTCCGTAGGCAACACCGATACTGTCAGCACAGCCATGGTCTCAGTCCTAGCTGTAGTAACTAACGTCTACGGAGTGCCTACTGTGTGTTAGGCCCCCCCACTAAGCTCTTTAAATGTATGGTAGCATTTATTCCTCATGGTGACTTTATGTTGCTATTGTACTTCCCAGGATGAAAATCTAAGGCTTAGTGAGAAGAAGTCATTTGCCAAAGGCTGCCCAACTGGTAGGCGGCAGATTCAGTCTCAAGCCAGGCTGTGCCGCTGCAAATCTCCCATTCCTCCCCGTTGGCTCTGCTGCCCTGGGCTGGTTAGTCACCCAGGAGGTCACATGTGCCATCTCTCCAGGCACAGAGTATTTCTTTACAGTCACATTAGGGTTCGAATCTGAGATCCGCTTTTCACAATGTGGTCGCCAGCCAGTGATATTTATATACTTGATTGCCAAATTAAAATAGAGCTGGAAAAATAAAAGCAAGACACACACACCAACTGATGAGCCCCAAATACCACTTGACTCACCAGAACTGCCACTTGGGGCATTCAAGTTTGGGATATCTGCTGGATATTGTTGCTCTAAATTCCCGAGGGCAGGTGGAATTCCGAGGCAGTTGGGTTTGTTTGCTAGTGACTGTGACAATGGCAGTGGAGTGAGAGCCCTTTACACCTGTCTCACCCCCACCAAGACGCTTTACTACCGCCTTGGAGGAAGAAACGCAAGGTGTGTGTCAAGTCAATCTGTGAAGAGATTCTCTGCTCTTTCCGTAGTGCCTTGCATGAGGTTCACAACAGCCCAAGGTTGCATGTTCTATATTTCAAGCTGCTCTGAGAACAGCAGTGCCTGTTAGACGGGAAAGTTTAACTCTTTTTTCTGCTGTCCCTTTCCCATAAGCAAATAACTTGAGGCTTTCTAGCCCCGTGATAGATGTGACCTTCTACCCAGGAGACAGAAGTGGCAGGAACTGCTGGACAAATTTCAACACAGCTTCCCTTGGTGTAAGGGGGGTAGTGACAATTATGGCATGGCAGATGCATGATAGCTTTGTCATGTGATTAGATCCCAAACGTCTGTGACCTGGGAGACCGTTCATAATAGCGCAGAACAGAGACCTAAGCATCCAGGAGCTCTCTGATGGGCAGGGGGTAGTACCTCTGCACTTCTGTGAATGCTCAAGTCGGACTATCATGGCACCTACAGCAGACTGTGTAAGAACACGTGATTACCCCGTGACATCATGGCTCAGAGCTGCCAAAGAAAAACTGTACTAATTTTAGCAAAGAGCCATTAAATCTTTATACTTCTTTTCCCCTTTCCTTCGTCTTAAGTGTTGGCTCCCTTTTGGGGTCCACTTTTGGCTAGGAAACTAAGTATTTTATCACGCCATAAAAGTGACTGCCTCAGTGACATGAGCGGAGATCAACAAAGCCCTGCCGGGAGGAACAGCTGCGCAGCCAGGGAAGTTCTGCCATGGGGCAGACAGGGCAGCGGTCTGGAGTCCCTGCCTCAGCAGCACACCAGGTTGCTCCGGGGCATGGGTGTTGGGGCTTACTTTTCGGAGAGGAAACAAAGACCGAGGAATCCTTGAGTTCACAGAACCCCATCTGTGCTATGTGCAATTGACAAGGCCGAAAAGAAAAGCGAGTGTCGTCACAATGCTTATCTTGGGCACTGGGGAGCATTAATGAGTTCTGTTGTTTTCATTTTAGCCTTTTAACTTATCCACATTTTAAAATTAACCTTTAGAAGCAGAGAAAGTGATAACAACATAAAAAAGAAAAACCCTTTAGACAGAATAGGGCCAGATGTTCACGGTCTGCTCAGCATCATCGGTAACCATGGCAGCTGACTGATGAGAGGTTATGAAGAGTCTAAGGAGGAAACAGGAGCACGAGGAGAAGCGGAAACGAAGGTGGGGAGGCACACAGGGAAGCAGAGAGAACTCCTGCAGCTGGCTGAGTGGTAAGGAGCGGGTTATATTCCTAAGGAACATAACCGAGGCTTGAAAGTCGGGCAATTATTTTATGTCATTACTAAATACTGTGTGTGGTCCGTGTGTGTGCCTGGGAGCTGTGATGGAGGGGAGGTCAAAGGACCACACTAGATGTCCTACTCCATCGCTCTGCACCTCAGTCTTTTAAGGCAAAAGATTCTCACTGAATCTGGGGCTAGGCTGGTGGCCAGCAAGCCCCAGGGATTCACTTGTCTCCACCCTGCTAGCTCTGGGGTTCTAGGGAGGTGTGGCCACACTCAGCTTTGGGTTTGGATGCAGGGGATTCACACTCAGGCCATCATGCTCCTCATTCAGCAAGCCTTGTCAGCTACCAGAGCCATCTCTCCGGCCCCTAGTTAGTGTCATTTCTGGGGTTCGTGGCACATTTCAATCTTGAAAGGGAGCAAGATTTGAACTAATTAACTGAATAGGATCTTGGGTCTAGTTAATATAAGCTCCAGATCCCAAGATTTACAGGAAAAATAGTGATCTCAGTGACTACATATAATAGTATTTTATATACCAACATAGGAACTAAAATGTGTCAGTTTTCTACTAAGAATGCCCTTCTTTTCATTTTGAAGACTTCTAATTTTGGACACAAAGGTGTTGTTTTAATGTTCTTGTATCCCGTTTGACTGTACTATGGCATCATTAAATCTGTAGTCATTAGAAAGTAGATGCTCAATGACTTGACTCCATTGTCCAATGGGAGAAAGACCCATCTTAGAAAGTCTCTCCTGTCGGTGTTGAGCGTACTCCTTCCTGGTTTCCCTTGGAATTCAGAAGAGTTATACATGAGACAGCTCCATGAACCCCACAGGAAGCCCCGAGCACCTTAAGCTAAGATGTAGACCCCCGCCCGCCCCAAGCAGCTCCCCTCCAGTCTTTCCTACTGATAAGTCTTAATTTTTACAGCTTTGTCTAATTATATCTTCGATCAAAAAGTCGTTTTCTAATATTAGCTTTTAACTTCTTTTTCTTTTCTTTCTTCTTCCCTTCTAATAGCCACCTGTCCCAACATTTGTGTGTGCTGTATTAGATATTTTAAAATAACACAGGGTATAGGCTGAACACGCAGCCTTCTTTCAATGTAGCATTTTTTCCTTGCCTTTGGATAATAAGAAATGGGCCAAAAATGTCACTCCCACAGAGAAGAGTGGGTAAAAATCAGAGACCAGAAACAAAGGCTAAATTCTTCCCATTACAAACATTTTCTTCAGCTTGTTAGCAACAAAGCTTCATTTCAAAACCCTCTCCGGTGGCTATTTCTTTATTGAAAATAAAACTGGGGAAATGGAGCTATTTCTCCTGGAAATAGACATAACATTTCACAGACGTGTGTATGGAAGACCTTTAGTGTCTTGGTGACAGTATTTACTCCTCTGAATTGGGATAAATATGTTTTTTCCTGCTAAAGGCATGGATAAAAATGTATGAATAGGATAATTTTAAAATAGGGTTCAAATTAGTTTGCTATAACTATCATAGTTAAAAGTACTTCAACTACTTGATATTTCTAAAGCAAAGTCAAGCAAAAATTTAACACCTTATTTTGTTTTATATCACATCTAACTTTTGATAGCCCACATTCTGACATAAACACAAAGCTAAGTTAAACTAAAACTGGAAACTGTAAACTATCTGTTTTTGCTGACCCTTTAGGGAGTTTACTTTTATGATGTATGTACTATGGTTCCTAAAAGTTAATTAATAAAGGCAAATTCAAGTCGTGTGTTTAATTTATAATTCTTGACATAAGGTAGAAAGAACACAGCGCAATACTTTAAAATGTCAACAATAGAAGAAAAAACCAAGTTACATCGCTACAAGGTGCAGACAGAATGCTCTCCTCCTACGTCGTTCACGCAACAGCCCAGCTAGCTGTTCTTTCATGCATATATAATCGGCAAAGTAGGATTTAAAATGTAACACAGAAATCATGTGTAAGAAAGGGTGTTTTGGCATTTGGCCTTTGTGACTGATGTTTGCTATTAAGGAGAAGAGTTGTCATAGCTGCTGTCAGTGAGTTGTGGATGAGTAAGCTGCGACTATGAAGGATCCCTCGCCAGGGTAGAGAGAGCTAAGCAAAGGCAGTGCGCATGAGCAGATTCTCCGCCTGCACGCCCGCCATCACTCATCGTCAAGACGCTTCATTAGTCCGGCTGATTCCCGATCTTGCAAATGATTCGGGGACCAATTATGGTTTTTCCAAAACAAACACTAGTGTGTGAAGGTGTTAAAGATTTCAGTCTTCAGACCTGTTAATTAAGCAGATCCTCAAGAAAACCTGACTTGGAAATAAGCCCTGACTTCTACTTAGCAAAGGCTGAGTTTGTTGAAAGGCAGCAAAAGTATTTTGAGGCTGGTTCTGACCCTAATTAACTGTGTGAATTGATTATGCTAGAAAGAGTCACTATAGTCCTGATGTGCAGTCTTCTGTGACCACATCCCTGATCAGGGACAGGGAAGAGCTGGAAGATACACTATGCCATCACCCCGACCAAGAGACCAAGATGTGCACCAGACAGACTTTGTCAAGGAGAGAAAGAGAAGAATTGACTTTGAAGAGCACTTTACAGAAATAAAGTACATAGTTCCCGAGGTAGCAGCAAGAGCAAGGAGCATGGGTGCCACTAACAGACAGCTGGGGGCGGGTGCCGGGGTGGGGAGACACTTGACAGGAACCCGTCACTTATTTTCAAGTTAAATATTCGCTTTCACCTAAGAAGCTGATTGGAGACCTGCTTTGTGTTTCTGATAAATAAACTGGTAAACTGAACTGACCTTGCTGGACAAGGGTCCAGGTTACATTCCTGAAGCTTGGGTTTCGGCTTGACGTTCTCTGGGTAGTAGTGGCAGTACTGGTCAGCGACCACACGGCTACTCCGGAGATCATAGCACTCAGCTGACGTCAGCTGGTAACCTGTAAACATCAAACCAACCAGGGCGCTTAAGGCACGTGCCAGCACAATATACTTCTGTATGATTTTTTTTTTTTACTATTTCCCACTAATAGGAATTATTCCCTTTGCCTAAGTCATTTTCAAGAGAAAGCAAATTTATAATTGGAAGATTTATCACTGTTGTAGACCTCAAATTCTATATTTTCTCAAGTAATCTATTCATTTTAACCATTAAGCTATATTAAAGGGCTTGAGTTATACAAGAATATAGATTATAAAATCCTGAGGTAAGAAGTTGTTTATTTTGTGTAATATAAAAATATAACAGAAAAACATCATTAGTAATTTTATTAACTAAGCTTGATATGCAAGGATGCTAAATTGCATCCTTTGTGGCCTCCAGGGAGAAAAAAAAACCTCACAATTCATTAAGAAAGCAAGCAATAAGGGAATAAATAAAAATAATCTCAATGTGCCCTTTTTGAACAACGGAGATTTATGAATCAGGTCCCACCTGAGTTGGGTATTTAGCAGGCTGTCTAACTTCAGCCTGCATGAGTTGAGCTGAATAAACAAGCTTTAAAGTCCCCACAACAGCGACCATGAATCTGATTTCCTCACACAATTAAAACAACAAAATCAAGCATAACAAAATATGAAAATCAAAAAATCAAAATGGAAAGCCCTCCTTGGCCTTCCTTCTTGCTACCTAAATTTTACTTTCTCCCAAGACTTTGTTGTTTATCCTCAAATCAAGTGTCTGCCTCATATTTTCTAGGCTTCCCTTCCCACAATTGTGATATATCTCTTTCCAAAAAGCTGTCAAGTAATATTTACTTTTATTTATGTGTTGGAGATTTCTCACCTGTTTCGTTACAGAAAGCAGTGATCAAGACTTAGACTCTCGCAGTGAAAATAAATAAGCACCAGGAATTTTAAAAGTTGGTAATCCTTCTACTCCAGACCCCTCCCTAACCCTGACTTTTCTTCCTGGCAGGTAGATGAGTTATTACTAAATATGTATTTGGAAACAAGATCGAAATCATTGAGGGACTGGCAAAGGCTTTAGGAAGTCGAAGGATGCTTTTGAAGCCAGATTTCCTGGCTTGAGGCTCTGTTCTCAGACCACCCACAAAAGTTAATTGTTCATTAAAGACCTTAAAAAAAGACCTTTTAAAAATTCTACTGGGAAGATGAAAAGAGTCAGAGCAGCAGAAGCAGTGGGCAGGACTCACGCCCATCTGAGGCTGCGCTTTATGGGAAGGCTAAACAACATGATATCTCAGAGTAGTCAACAAATTTTGACTTTTCGTCCTCCTAAGGAGCTAATTTTATAAGCTAAACCCTTTGGAGTTTTCCAGAGAATAGTGTCTACTCAAGGGAAGAATTTATTAGGTGGTAAGACCTAAGAAGAAATAAGAAATTATTAGGCTGAAGGCGTGGTTTTTGAAATCATTGTCTTTCAACCTAAACCCACTGCTTCAAAGTTCGTCCACACCACTGAGTAAGGACGGGGAATGAAAGCAGAGGGCCAGCATGGCCTGGTGACACTTCCTCTGAGGGGTCCCAAGGCTGTGAGCATTCTTCACACATGGCCAAGTGGCCAGCCTCATGAATCTGAGAGCAGGAACGCACATGGGAACCCACAGCTCTCTTCTCAGAACAAGGGAACAGGCTGCTCCATGGAGTGACAAGAAGACACTGCATCCCCCCACACCCCACAGGGAACTTTGGCTTCTTCCTGGGCTTCCCAATCAGATTTCATAACAGAGGCCTGACGCTGGAAAACCATGGATAGCGCTACTTTTTCATGTGAGTAAAATGAGACCCAATGTGGCTGGAAACAGAAGAATGTAACACTAATTGCTTTATTTAATAGTAAGCCACTGTCAAGGTCACTGAAATTAGGCTGCCACAGAAATTATGTAGGAAAATGATACAGAGTGCATACAATTGAATTGCCTCTTTATGAAAGGTATGGTTTACATTTAAGAAGAAAAAAGCATTTCGTTAGATGCCTTTTCTTTAAGTCTGTTTTCTGTATGATTCAGTCATAGATGTATAGAAATTTATTCTCATGGAACATTCACGTAATTGGTAGCTTTTCTGTTTTCTTTTTCCAGGTCTCTCTCTCTCCCTTTTGAGGCTGCAATTACAGGCAGGCAGTCACAGCTTGCCAGGGTTTACTAGATTCTGGGCATCTGAACGCTGGTTCTTTTACTTTCATGGTAAGCTCTTTGACTGCTGAGCCACCTCCTCAGCCCAGCAGTTTGTTTATAAAGACAGTAGTGTTCTATTCAGATCGGCTGGATCAACTACAGGAATACTATTGCACTGAAACGCAAACCCACTTCTTAGTAGTTTGACTCATCATTTTTAAGTTAAAATCGGTGCTGATTGGGTTTTTTGTCAACTTGACATACGTGAGGGTCAGTTGAGAAAAAGGATCTTCAACTGAGAAAATGACCCCTTAATATTTGCCTGTAGGCAATCCTGTGGGTTGCTTTCTTGATTAATGATGGCTATGGGAGGGCCAGTGCACTGTGGGTGGTGCCAGCCTGGGCAGGTAGTCCGTGGTACAAGAAAGCAGGCTGAGCAATCTCTAGGAAACAAGCTAGTAAACAATGCTTCTTCATTATTACTGCTTCAGTTCCTGCCTTCAGGCTCCTGCCTCGAGTTCTCACCCTGACTTCTTTTGTTGAGAGACTGTGATGTAGAGGTGTAAACCAAATAAACCCTTCCCTCCTCAAGTTGCTTTCTGTTGTGGTGCTTCATCACAGCAATAGAAACCCTAATTATGACAAAGTACAATACTGCATTTAGAACCATGTCTAGTTCATATTATATAGATGGAAATAACACAGCTATTGGTAAATTGCATCATATATTCTATTTTAAGAAACTGCTGGATAATCATTTGCCCCAGTTTTGAGGAACTATGGTTTTACATATTGTGAATAATTCCAGTGTGGATGAACTATTTAAAGTTAGTCAATCAACCAGCATCCATGCAACTAGAGAAAAAAGTTTTCATGATGTGCCAGTTTTTAGAGGAATATGTATTTAATTTTAGACTTATTAAAATAGAAAACAGAAGATAACCCACAAATGTTGACAACCTAAAATATTTACACACTTAATTTTCTGGAAAGATTTTGGTAATACATGCAGCCATACGCAGAAAAAAAGGCAAAAAAACCAAAATTTAAACTCCTTTCTCTAGTAACCATACTTCTGGATTATGAATGATAAAAAGGTATTGTGTGGTTTATTGCATTATAATAGTATGGCATTTAAAAGAACCAAGTAGGCCCCTACAGGGAAATGAATAAATTATTAAAAAATAGTTCTAAGAAATTATGACATATCTACTATAATTATGAAAGACAGAAAATGAGGAAAAGTCTTTTCTAGTAACACAAGATGCTGTGTGTAACATGGATGTGACAGTGTGGGGACAGGAATTTATGGAGTGATTGCATGTCTTCCAGTGTGCGGTGATGGGTGCAGGCAAAACTGAACTGAGTTTAAGTCAACAGTGATTGTATTTTCTTTCTGGTAATAAACTTCCTCTAAGGGAACAAGCCTGACAAACATCGTCACTTGCTTCCTGAGAAGTGACATCACGACCACCAGACAAGTCTATGCATAGGTGACAGCAAGCACCGCAGGGCTAAGCCTCTAACAGATATGCTATTACTAGTCCTGGCTTTCCATGATGCTAAGGAAAAAGATGTTTTCTAGGAGCTTCCACAAAGAAAAAGCTTCCTGGGCCACCCCAGGGTGGCTTCAGGAATTGGCTCCGTTCAGAAGAAGGGATTCTTCCATGTTGAAGTTACTACTCCACTCTTAGAACACCAGTTTTTTCCTCATAGAGGCCTGGGCTAGCTAGGATGAGCAGGCACTGTTACCTCCTCCACAGGTTGCTGAGCATGGAAAGAAGTCCGTTTCCCTCCATCGGTGGATGATAGGCTGGTAGAAGATGAACTGGACCGTGCTGTCTGCAGGCCCCGAGTCATGGATCTGCAGGAAGAAGACAGGAAAGTTGGGAGTATGCTGGGAGCGGGGATGGCTTCTGGTCCATGGTAACCTTGGTGGAGAATGCGCACTGTATGGAGGTCTTGGCTATGTGAGGGTCTGAATGGTCCTCAAGTGGGAAGGCACCGTTACTCACCCCGTTATGTATCAGAGAATGTTTCTCAGGATATTCTTATCATCCTTACCTCTACAGAGCTGATAACTTAGAAGTATGGTGAAATCCCCATTGGCAACTCCACCACAGTTCCCTTCCTGCCTTTATTTCTATCTTCCTTGATACTGACTATAGAATTATGTGGATTTCTAAACATAGTTTCAGAATGGTCATGTAGACTTTCAGTCCCAGCACTCATGGGGCAGAGGAAAGAGGATCTCTAGAACATGAATTCTAATTGTTTTTAATAATAAAAGCCCAGAGTCAGATATAGGGTTTAATGCTGACGATCAGAGAAGCAGAGTGGCCAGCCACTAGAGAGTTCTTACCTCTATCAATGCTCAGACCAAACGGGCCATCCTGTCTTCAGACTGCTTCCTCAGACTGCATTCTCAGACTGACTACTTCCTCAGGCTGCTTCAGACTGACAGTCTAAGCTCCTGTTTCCTCTCGCCTTCTATCCCTCTCTCTGCCCAGCCATACCCCTTCCTGTCTCCACCTCCCTAGTGCTGGGATTAGGGGTGTGTGATTCCAAGTGCTGGGATCACCTTTGTGTGAGCTCTGTGTCTCTTTTAGACTGGATCAATTTTGTATAGCCAATGTGGCTTTAAGCTAACAGAGATCTGATCTGTCTGCCTCTACCTCTTAAGTGCTGGGATTAAAGGTGTGTACCACCACTGACTGGCCTCTATGGCTAACTAATGTGGCTAGCGCTGTGTTCTGATCCTCAGGCAAGTTTTATTTGTTAGATCATAAGATCTATTTGTGATCAAATATTGAGTTCATGGGACAATCAGAGCTATGTAGAGAGACTCTATCTCAAAAACAAAACTAAACCAGAAATAGACAATTTATTTTAAGGAAATTATAAATGCCATACACCGCAGAAAATGACAGATATTATCTGTAGTTGAGAAGAAAAAAAAATAAGAATTAAGATGTTTTTCCCATTTAGGGACATACATGGGTCTTCCTGTCAGTGTAATGATTCATGTATGTGAATGTGCTAAGTCACCAGTTGGAAGTTAGTTAAGTGCAAATTCTTGGGACCAAGCCCAGAGATTTAGGCAATTCTAATGTAGATATTCCAGAATACCAAATGTCAAGATACCGAGTTATAAAAGCAACTACTTTCAAATAAAACTGGTGCTTTTGGAAATTAAAACTTGTTTTTAAAAGAGGGAATATGAGACAGTTAATTTTTAATGGTTCCTAAAATTACAAGGTTGAGCAAACATACTTAAACTACAGGAGAAGAAAAAGTGCCTAACATGAACAATGAATTTCATGAGGATTGACTGATGTGATGATCAATATTTACACTGCCGGGCCAGGCTTGGACTATTTGTTATATTAAGAGTGGTTCCAGGAATAAAGGCAGAATTACTTCTTACTCCAGCTATATACTGGAATGTATATTGTAATAATGAGTAGAAAAGCATCAGCGTCCCGCTGAATTACAGCCTAAGCTGTTGAGTGTTCTTAAGTCTCTCTAATGTCCCAGGCTGCCCCCCGCCCGTTTTTTTTAAAGTTTATTAAAATATAAAAGTTTCCATTTTCGCCCCTCCTCCCAACACCCTCCCACTCCCCCCACTCCCTCTCCTCTTCCCTCTCCATCCCTAAGAGCAGTCAGGGTTTCCTGCCCTGTGGGTAGTTCAAGTTCCTCCCCGCTCCCTCCAGGACCAGGAAGGTGAGTATCCAATCAGACTGGATCCCCAAAAATCCAGATATGCAGAGGAAACAAGTCCCAGAGTCATTGTCAATGGCTTTTTAGAAAGACTTCGGGCCAGCCACATTCAGAGAATCCAGCCTCCTCCAGAGAATCTGGTTGGATCAAGCGCTCCTTCAGTCCCGGTCAACTGGCCTTGGTGAACTCTCATTAGATCAGTTGCCTTGTATCAGTGGGTGATCGCTCCCCTTGCGGTTCTGATTTCCTTTTTCATGTTCTTCCTCCTTCTGCTCCTCCTTTGGACTTTGGGGGGCTCAGTCCGGTGCTCCAATGTGGGTCTCCTTCTGCATCGCCATTCACTGCCGGATGAAGGTTCCCTCTGATCTTGCCCTCCCTGCTCACGTTCTTCTTCCTTCTGCTTCTTGCTTAGACCTAGGGAGTTAAGTCCAGTGTTCCAATGTGGGTCCCCGTCTCTATCTCCATCTATTGCCAGATGAAGGATCTATGGTGATAAGCAAAATATTCATCAGTATGGTTATGGGCCAAGGCCAGTTCAGGCACCCTCTCCTCTGTCCAGAGAACAATCTGGGGATCTCTCCTTGGACCTGGGATCCCATTTACAGTCAAGTCTCTAGTAAACCCTAAACTGACTTCCACAGTTGAGATATATTCTTCCCTGAACCCATATCTATCCTTCCTCCCTCCCCCCCTCCCAGTCCCCCGAGCATTTCCCATTCCTCCCCTGATCCCTTCTCTCTAACCTCCTCCCCTTCCAACTACCCTCCCAACCCCCCCATGCACCCTTGGTTACCTGGAACTCTTGTCTATTTCCAATCTCCAGGAGGAAAACTACCTGAATTTTCTTCAGGTTCACCTCCTTATTTAGCTTCTCTAGGATCACGAATAATAGGCTCAAAGACCTTTAATTATGGCTAGAATCCACTTATGAGTGAATACATACCTTATTCCTCTTTTTGGGTCTGGCTTACCTGACTCAATAAAGCGTTTTCTTTTTCTTTTTTTTTCCTTTTCTATTTATTTATTTATTTATTTATTTATTTATTTATTTATTTATTTTTATTTAATTTTTACTGGGAACCCCTCAAGAATCAAGTCTCCTGCAAACCCTAGAATGGCTCTCTTAGTTGCGACATAAACTTCCCTGCTCCCATAACCATCCTTCCTCCCTCCCCCCTCCCA